TGACCTCATTTGAAAGTATAAAGCTATCGAACCTGAGCTACTTAGCCTTCATACAACTCCACTTACAACCAACCTATACCTGTATCCAGAAATTGACATGGAAACAATGAGTTTAATTTGAATGAATGAGTGAGCAAATGAATCAATGAGTCCCACTGATGCCAGATTATTTCTGACATTTCAGTTTATGTATTAACATCTGATGTCTTGGGGAATATGTGTTTTATGATTAAAACATGAGTTTTCAGTTTCCTAGACTATTGTGTTATATTAGTGAAATGTTACCAGTTTTGTTGATTTAACTCTGCTAGTTCAGTATTTTTTAAGTGAGAAATTTGAATCATTTATGTTTTGAGCTATACCCAGAGAGTTATACGCAGCATTAATATTTCAAATTGAATGAAGGTTGTACTCATTTAGAAAGTGTTCTTCTATAACATTATCCCCAAGAGGAAGAAGGAAATGACACCGAGAAAGCAAGGCTTCTGTTGCAAGAATAATTCTTACTTTAGTTCAAAGGCTTTCTGAACAAGTGGAATATGAACATGACAGTACTGAAAGTGATGCCTTCACTCTACATTTGAATCTCTATCTATATATGATAAAACTAAAGTAGATGAAGTCAAATCAGAGGGGAAAACAAAGCAACTTCCTTTGAAATAAAACTGGCAGTAAGCTCTCAATAAAAAGATTTCCCCCCAACAACAACAAAAAAGTTATTGAAAACGATTTTCTTAACATTATTAGATAAGATACCTACTTACCTGAAAATGAAGAAAATTATTTGGAGTTAATTGTTTGTTGTAACTTTCTCCATTCCACTGCCTAGTCTAGGACGGGGTTACAAAGAGCTTTCTGAAAAGCCACAACATTTTTCACAAAAACCAACTTGAAACTCAGGGATGGCAACGTTCCTTTACCTTCACGAATTGCAGTTTTGCCAAATGAGACTTGGGACATTGACCTAGCACACCTTAGTACTCCTCTTTTTCCCAAGGTTTCTTTTAAACTAAGACATGGTATAGAAAAAAAAAATTATGAAGATTAAGTTAGATGATGCATAGGAAAGTGCTTTGGAAAGTGCTGTAGAAAGCACAGAGTGCCATGTCAATATAAATTTACTTTTATTCATATTTATTATTTTAACTCTCACATGATGAATGAAATATAAAAATATAAACATAATTTAGCCATCCCTGCTCCCCTCTCCTGTATTTGATTCTTGCAGATGACTACATGGTATTAGAATAAGAAATATAAGTGTATTTATTCATAACCAATTAAATAATCTAGCAAATAAAAAATTCATGGCAAATATTCCTCTGCTTTAACCAGAGTGAAATAATCATTTTGAAACTCAAAATTAGGAGTATATAAGACAAAAAACCAGCAAAACAAAACAAAATCAACCAAACTGGTATCATTCTCAGAAAATCAGTACTGATCCTAATGATTTGTGATGAACAGCACACATGTCTAAGTGCCTAAGGAATTTATGTAAACATGTTTTAATAAAAAAAACTGTAAGAACGTGTTTTCTTCTCTTAACTTATTCTTCCTCTACTAAAGAAAAATGAAAATAAAATTCCATAAAGCTAACAAGTTTAAAAATGCCTAAAACATAAATAAACAACCAGGTTGCTCCTCAGTCTCGAAAAATTTCTTAAATTGATCTTTTTAAATATTAATTTCTTATATGCCACTTGAAAAAAATTACTCTGCTTATAACTACAACTGGTGATTGCAGCTAATGAACTACTGCTAAAAATATTACAAGGTAATATTTATCTATTTATTATATACATAGACATCGATCTGACATCCTTTTTTTTTTTTTTTTTTTAGAAAAATGTGAAAGCCTTGTGATGTGCTAGATGCTGTGCTAGTTGCTACTAGTTCCTGGAGATAAAATAGTGGATAAGATTCAGATGACCCCTCTTTTCACTGAGTCTTAAATTTACCAAGGGAGTTATATATTTAATAGTTTTTCAAATGTAATTTTGTTAAGTGCCATGAAAGGTAAGTATAGGGTAATATAAAAATGTATGACAGGGAAAACTAGCATAGCATGAGGCTTTAGGAAAAGCTTCCCCAAGGAAATGAGATTTGCAGATGAAGGATTTGGTCAGGTATGGGAGGGAGCGTTTGACTGGAATGACTCTCAGAAAGGAGAACTGCAAATGTATAGAGCTCAGAGTTGAAGGAGGTTGGTACATTCAATGAACTGAAAGAATGCTTGCTTGGCTGGAGCAGAGTGATCAACAGGGAGACCCACAGGAGACCATTCATGCGAGCCTTACAGGTCAGCTGGAGGACACTAGTCATTGAAGCCATTAAGCAGGACAGTGACATGATCAGGAAATGGAAAAAAAAAATATTTAAAGTCATGATAGCTCATAGGGAAATACTAAACTTCATAAAACAACGTCAATAATCAGAAATGATAGAGCTACTTGAGATTATTGATTTTAATGTCTGTAGAGAAATGCTAAGATTTAGATAATAAGACAGAGGGAATAAAAAAAAAGGTGTTATATTGGTGTTAAGCATTAGGAGCCATTTGTTTTAAGGACAAAAAAATAAAACTTCAAAGATCCCTTAGTCATATATCAAAGAATAATCCCAAGATTATATTTGATACCACAAATATGCTCACTTTATAGACCTTACAGAAAGAGATGTTAGAAATAATTATGTTTTTTATTGTTACTATTTATTGTCACTATGGGAAGAGTTTTCAAAACAGAACAGATGCTCAGCCTGCCCTAGGTGGAATATATACAGTTAAGGTGATTATTAATATAAATACTTCACAAAGTTTATGAAATTACTGAGATTTGTTAATGTCCTAGCTGTCCATGACCCATTTTTACCCTCATGTAATATACACCAAGACTCAGGAAATAATTTTTTTTTAAATATTTTAAAAGATTTTATTTATTTATCAGAAAGAGCGAGCACAAGCAGGGGGAGATGCAGCGGCAGAGGGAGAAGCAGGTTCCCCAGAGCAGAGAGCCTGATGTGGGGCTCGATCCCAGGACCCCGGGATCATGATCTGAGCCAAAGGCAGATGCTTAACCGACTGAGCCACCCAGGCGTCCCAGGAAATAATTCTTAACATGAATTTGAATCAGATCTTTCTTATTTAAAAGTTATCAATATTAATTTAACTAAGGCTGTTAAATCTCTGTCATGTGTAGTCTGTTTGACTCTGATGCTTGCCTGCAGGTTCTGTTATGTGCTATAGGCTAGAACGTCTTCAACAAAGGATGACAGTCTCAGGAAAAGGACTTTATTAAGTACTTCAAACTACCCACACTCTCCACTCATTAGGTATAGGCTTCTAAGTTGACATTGCCTACACAACGTCAGACTAGAGCAGTAAACTGAGTCAAGATTACTAGAATTCTTTTCTTTTTTTTAAAGGATCTTTTTTTTTTTCTTAATTATTTTTTTTAAGCAGGCTCAATGCCCAGTGTGGGGTTCAAACTTACGACACTGAGATCAAGGGTTGCATGCTCCACTCACTGGGCCAGCCAGGTGCCCCAAGATTACTAGAATTTTTGAATGCAGTGGGTTTCAAGAATTAATGGCATAGGACTGACTGCATAAAATTGGAGGTTTTATTTTGGTTCTCTGTTTGGAAAACTGTTTTAGTTTCCACACATACAAGGAAGCCCATTCCGTTTCTTTTTAAGCTATTTTAGAGTGTAACAACTTCATGAACTGTTTTTGAAAATGAAATAAAACACTAAAAAAAATTTCACACTAACCCCCCACTTCTCCTTACTTTATATGGTAACATATTTACACAGGTTCATAGACCCTATCTTTTTATCAGGATATAATTGAATAAATTGATTGTGCAACTAAGGCCTTACTGGAATGGCTATATTTGTGAACAATGTTTATTGGGTCAGTGAAGACCAGTTGCTTTTAAGGAACTGAGGCTGATATTATTTATGGATATAATGCCTGCAAACTCCACTCAGGGAACCTGGCCTGCAGCCTGGCTGGCTCAGTGCAGTCTCCCATGTCGAGAAGGTCACTTCCGGACAGCTTAGGACTATTAACAAATTTTGTTGATCCTAGGAGAGGAATACACCCAAAGGTATAGGCTATACAGGTGAAATATGATGTATAGTTTATAGGGGTGGGCTTCCTAACCTCAAGTTAGCAAACAATAGAAACTGATTGCCTGATTGATTGAATTAACAACAGAGACTTTTAAAAGTCCAATCTGAGGTTCCTTATACAAATTTCCAGATAGAAATGAATTAATTTGAAGCTCTAAGGCTTTCACTATAGAAAAGTAAGTCAGCCTCTCATATACATTTCCCAGGCTTTCTGTCTCTCTCTCTAGTCTAAAAACTGGTGAAATCTCTTAAAACTTAGAAATGCTCAAATGACCGTTGTTGACCAAATGGAACAGAAAATATTATTTGTTGACTTCTATATCTTATCATTCAAGATCCTTAGGACAACAATGACCTTTGAATATTCGTAGTTTTCCTATTTTTAAAATAAATACATATAAATATTTTTGTCTATCACAATATCCTTTGCCTTGGTTTTCACATTTATAATATAAACATACTGGTGTACAATTACCTCAAAGACCAATAATCTTAGCTTGATATGTCATGCCATGACAATTATATCTTTCTTATGTTTAATGTGCGAACACTAATATAATAAACTCCAGTGATTAAATTCAGAATAACTCTAAGTTTTAAAAATAGTTCACCCCACTTGTTGACAAAAACATTAAATAAAATGCCAGCTATCAGACTACTTTTGCATCATGTATTAGTATAACAATGATTTTACAGTAATTTAATTTGTGCCGCTTATATAACACAGTGTATAAAAGAAACAAAGTTATAATTTTCTGTTTTAAATCTGAACAGTAATTCAAACTATTCTACATGACTTATGACATATGTAACATTAGTTAACGTTCTGAACATAGATGGGGTATGTGTTCAACTCATACTTACCCATAAAATTGAGATAGCCTTCTCCGCCAAGAGCATGAGTAATGAGTCGAATCATTTTATGAAGCTGTATTCCACGATCAATAACTGGAGTAAATGGGGTCAGAACACTCATGTTGGTATACATTTCAGCATCCATCAACCAAAATGCCAGTGTCTTGTCCCCAACAAGTGCCTATGGAAATAAAAGTCACTGAGATAAATGCAAGGAATAGGTACTAAGCAGCTGTGATTTATACCAGAATAACACATGATTGCATGGGATGGGAAACGATGAAGGAGAGGTGTTTGAATTAATATTAATTTCATGTGTTTTTCAATAGTTGCTTTCTATGTAGAAGGAGAATGGGTAAAATCAGGTGGGCTGGTCAGAGTTCAACACTATTTTCAGGATGGATTTTTATTTTTAAAGAGCTTGGTGAAAACTCAGGATAAGCCACCTGAATATTTGTTATACCTGAGCTGATGCTTCAAATTCTCTGAAATTGGAATAAATATTTATTATAATGTTGAGAATACTAAATAAATTTTATTTTTTAAAAATATTTTATTGTTATGTTGATCACCATACATTTCATCATTATAAATAAATTTTAAAAATAGCTTGCATTACCATGATTTTATTTGTTTTGAAAGAATGGAAGACTTTCTTAAAAATCATTTATATGTATATGTATTTACATTTGTGTATATGTATTGATATATATAAAATATGTACATATATATAATAAAATGGACCCTATTCCCCTTCAGCAGAGGGCTGACAGCTTTTCCTTAAAATGTAAAATTTGCTTTCTCATTGAATTTGGTATCTAATCTAAAAGTAGTTTATTTTATACAAAAATATAACAGTTGATAAATGGGGCAGGTAATTCAGAAACATCCTGAGTAGCAGAAGAGAGGCTTCTTAACAATCTGAATTATTTTAAGGGCCAAAAAAGAATTGGCTCAGAATACGGTTCCTGGCTAAGATTTTTCAGAGTTTGATTAGATGGTAATTGTCATCTATATAACTTGAGTTCAATCTATTTCACTTTATCAAAGTAGACTCTTTGTTCTCCGACTTATAGATAAATACTTTAATCTAAACATATAAAGTGAATGTGTACAGTTATGGACTGAACTGTGCCCTTCCCAAATTCATGTTGAAGTCCTATCCTCCAATGTGACTATTATTTAGAGAGAGGGCCTATAAAGAGGTGATCGAGATCAAATAAGGTCCTAAGAGTGAGGCTCTAATCCAATCTGAGTGGAGTCCTTATATGAAGAAGGAGAGATACCAGGGATGAGTGTGCACAAAAACAGACCGTGTGAGAGCAGAAAGAAGACGGCCGTCTACAAGCCTAGGGCAGAGGCCTCAGGGAAAACTGAACCTGCTGACCCCCTGATCTCGGACTACCAACCTCCAGAATGGTGAGAAATAAATTTCTGTTGTTTAGACCACCCAGACTTGTGGAATTTTGTTATGGCAGCCCTGGGAGACTGAAACACATACCAATAAAATGCAGCTTCAATCTGACATATAACTTCGAGTGCTACAGAAGCATGGCTCAATAGTAGGCTCCATTGTTAAAGAAGTTTGAAGACAACGTATATCTATTTGTTAAATAGTTATTAGGCAGTACTGGTTCTTTTTTTTTTTTTTTTAAGATTTTAATTATTTATTTGACAGAGAGAGAGACAGCACAAGCAGGGGGAGCAGCAGAGGGAGAGGGAGAAGCAGGGAGCCTGATGTGGGACTCGATCCCAGGACCCTGGGATCATGACCTGAGCTGAAGGCAGATGCTTAACTGACTGAGCCACCCAGGCGCTCTGGCAGTACTGGTTCTTAAAAACAATTTGTCCTTTTCCCTTGTTTGGAATTGTTTAATTATATTCTTACATGTAACTCTGTTTATTTCTTTAATCTATGATTCTATTACAAACTTATTTTGATAACTTCTGCTTAGATTTTTACTATGATGTATATTTGTCTATATTACTCATTTTATAAATATACATCTTTATAATTTCATTAGATTTAAGATTCAATGTATTTTTGCTTTTATTTTTTTTAAAGATTTTATTCATTTATTTGAGAGAGAGAGAGAGAGAGCACAAGAGCAGGGGGGAGAGGGAGAAGCAGGCTCCCCACTAAGCAGGGAGCCTGACGCGGGGCTCCATCCCAGGACCCTGAGATCATGACCTGAGCCAAGGCAGATGTTTAACCAACTGAGCCACCCAGGTGCCTTATTTTTGCTTTTAGAAAGAACTAGGAAACTTGCATCTTTTTGTATATTCCAACAATTTGTAATAAAAGGCAGAATTACCTGAACCTTTAAAGTATGAAATAAGTCTATAATTTGTTGTACATTTTGGGAAGAAAACTATAAAAATAATCTGTTTCATCTTCAATTTGTTTAATCCACTCATTCTTTTATTCATTTATATCAAATAAATGTATCTAGGGAGCTCAAAATATGTTATAATTGCCAGGAGTTTGCAATATAAAGAATTTATACATGCATTTTAGTTTTCATATTGTTATGTATTTGGTGAGAGTTCCTCCATGGTTAATTAATATTATCCATTTTTAATTTCTTAGATTTTGGTTCTCATTTTTTGTAGGTATTTATTTGATTTGCTCTATGGCCAATTTAAGTTGAAAAGAAAGCCCTGCCCTGATTTGGAAGATACAAAATTTAATATAGGTTTATATCATGAGTCAGAAAACTTTCTGTAAAGGCTACCCAGTATATATTTTAGGCATTGTGGGCCACTTGCTCAGTCTCCACTACTTAAATCTGCCATTATGGCTCAAAAGCACCCACAGACAATACATAAGTGAATGAACATGGCTGTGTTCCAATTACCTTTACAAAAACAGGCAGCAGGCAGAACTTGGCCCATGGGCCTTAGTAGCTGACCTCTGGTCTACTTAGACTTTCTTTTTTTTTAAATTTTTTTAAAAGATTTTATTTATTTATTTGACAGAGAGAGACACAGCCAGAGAGGGAACACAAGCAGGGGGAGTGGGAGAGGGAGAAGTAGGCTTCCCGAGGAGCAGGGAGGCTGATGCCGGGCTCGATCCCAGGACCCTGGGACCATGACCTGAGCCAAAGGCAGACACCTAATGACTGAGTCACCCAGGCTCCCCTAGACTTTCTTATTAATTAGAGAAGACACCTGAAAATTTACCTGTTTACCTTAAATGGTGAATTTCTGCAAAAATAACAGGCTTATTGTTCGAGCTTCAATTTTCTTAATACACATACTGGAAATAATTTCCTTTTTACAAAGATTTTTTCTATTTATTTATTCCTTTTAGAGAGAGGAGAGAGAGAGAGTGTGAGCCAGAGGAGGGGCAGGAAGAGAGAGAATCTCAAGCAGACTCCATGCTGAGCATGGACCTGGATTCAGGCTGGATCTCAGGACCCTGAAATCATGACCTGAGCTGAAACCAAGAGTCAGACGCTTAACTGACTGAGTCACCCTGGTGCCCCATGCAAATAATTTCAAAAATTTTTACTGTCTCCTTTTTAACGTATAAAGAGTACATCTTATGTTGCTTATGCTTATGAGGATTGATATGGCTTTATATAACTAAATGGCCTTTGTTCCCCCACTTACATATGTTTATTGAACAACTACTAGAAGCAGTCATAGTGCTAAGGCTAAAAATCTAATGGTAATGGGAACAAATGTTCTGCCTAAAATGTGATGAAAGCATGGAGGATGAGGCAACTATTTTTCCTTATACAACTAGATGAGGTCTTGAGGGAGAATACGACATCTGAGGCAGGACAGTAGGACTTCACAGAAGCTTCCCAGGTGCACTAGACACTTGCAGGTGTGTGGGGGAAATTACAAGACTGGAACAAGGTTGACTTATTCAGGAATGGGTGGGAATTTTATTATACTGAAGAATAAAATGCTTGGAGAAATGAGCAGAGAATGAAGGTGGAAACTTTGGCTTAGGCCAGAATATGAGTGGGCTTGAATGAGAAGATTTAATCAAAAGATCTGGGTTGACGAAATGAGCTTTGCTCTTTGGAAAATACCTCAGGCTGCATTAGAAAGGATGGGCCGAAGCTGGACAAACAGGGGTCAGGGTAATTACCTAGCAAGAGATTTCAGTGATTGCAGGAAAAAAATGATGAAAGCTTATCAAAAGGCATAAAAGAAAACCTCTAGAAGGAAATCTAAAATGGAAATTAAAATTAACCTGGATCAGCACCAATATTCCTCTCATTACAACAAAGGAAAACATGTAAGAGAACACTTGCAACTGTCATTTACAATTTTTTAATTACAGTCTGGCAGAGTAAAAATAGTGCTGCATTTTGAAGCTGGAATTTATAGATCTGCAAAATAATTTTAAAATGTTTTTCAAGTATAAGTAGTTTTCATGTAAAGATAGATATAAATTATATTAACTGTATTAAACTATAGAGATTTGCATTTAGATATGTTTGTATTAGATATGTTAATAAATACAAAGAAAGCCACAATTAATTTGTACACATATTCATTTACCTGATCATGGCTCTCTGCATAAGCAATGCACTTTTCAAGGTAGCGTCTGTTTGTGAGTGTGTACACAATATTGCCCATATTCCAATCTTCATCTTTAAACTCTTTAAGTAGCTAAATGCAAGAGAGAAAATAATTTGAATAAACCATTATTGTTCTCACCTTAAGTCACTATTTGAAGGCATCCATCATATCAATCCAAATTACTTGACATGTAGATACAAGGGCACCCATGTAGCAAAAACATCTTTGGTTAAACTTTTTACTAAAATCAAAGCTTTTATACAGACTGACCAAATGACAGTGATGTGGGGTGTGGGTGTGTTTGCTTTTGTGCAGATGGTTTGATCACGGCACTCTGGGTTTTTTTCAACCTTTTTTTCTCACTGTAACAACTGTTACCTCTTGATTAAGACCACAGTGAAGTGTTACTGTGCACGTTATCTTTTTGTCACTTTCACAAGAGAGAGATATACTTGCTACATTTTTAGGTTTGAATAAAGAAAATTTTAGCAGGAATAATGTTTTGTTCCATTCTTTAAAAAAAATGATAACTAAAAAAACCCCTGTCATTTCAAAGTTTAAAGGCTAATTATCATGAAATAATTAACATCTTAACAGACCACACATTTTTTTTTTAAAGATTTTATTTATTTGACAGAGAGAGACATAGCGAGAGAGAGAGCACAAGCAGGGGGAGTGGGAGAGGGAGAAGTAGACTCCCCACTGAGCAGGGAGCCCGACACGTGGGGCTCGATCCCAGGACCCTGGGATCATGACCTGAGCCGAAGGCAGATGCTTAACGACTGAGCCACCAAGGCACCCCCAGACCACACATTTCTTCCTCCACTTCAGTTATCACTCAGTCTCCAAGCTGGCTTCTGCTCTATTTCAATGCAAATGACCTTGCCAAGATTGCAGATGACTGTCTCTTAGGTAATAATTTCTCTTTCTTAGGCAAGTATTTGCTATACGCGTTGAGAGTGCTGACTCCATCCCTTCCCATGAGACACTTTCCGTCTCAGTCTACAATGTGAGACTCCTGATTGTTTTGTTTTGTTTTCCTACCACTCTAGGCATCCTGCAGTCTCTCCCTCTGCCTATCCTATAAAGCTGGTGCTCTTGAAAGTTATTCCTAAAAATAGCCTCTTTCTTCTACTCAATACACTTTTTCTGCCTGGGTTCATTCCTCTGTCCAAAGTGTTAACTGTACTCTGATAGGCAGAATTCTAATATGGTCCCCATGATTCCTGCCCCTGCAGATTCACATCTCTGTACAATCCTTTACCTAAAGTCGAGGTGGGACCTTGGAATATGATGGATGTCCTTTGAAGAAATCATGAGATAGCAACTGAGTAATGTTTTAAGTTACTAGATTTGTGGTAATTTGTTGCACAGCAACTAATGCAAAACTGAGGCAGATTTTGGTATAAGAAATGGGGTTTAGGCCTCCTTGAATCTTCCTTTGTTGACTTTTGTCCAAGGAATTCAGATGTGTTTAGCCATCTCTCAGAATTTCAATGTGAATCGTTAGACACCAGACAGCAGACTGTGTTAGGCAGAATAATAATGACCACCCCATAGATGTTCACATCCCATGCAAAAGGACTTTAGAGGTGATAAAGACAAATACATTGAAAGGGAAAGATTATCTTGGATAACCTGATGGGTCCAATGTAATTATAGGGATCTTTCTCAAAAGGGGGAGTGAGTTGTCAGAGTAAGAGAGGAATGTGAAGATGCTACCTTGCTGGCTTTGAAGATGGAGGAAGGGGCCACGAGCCGAGGAGTATAGGTAGCTTTTAAAAAACTAGCAGCCTTGAGAAAAGGCAAGGGAACTAGAGCTTCCAGAAGAAGTGAAGCCTTGCCAATGCCTTAATTTTAGTCTAATAAGATCCATTTTAGATCTGTGACCTACAGAACTATGAGAACTATATAATAGTAAATTTGTGTTGTTTTAAGACACTGTTGTGGTATTTAGGTACAGCAACAATTTCACACTAATGTATAGACCTACACAAATATGCCCACTTAATTTTTGACTACCGTGCAAAGACAAATCAATGGAAGGATAGACTTTTCAACAAATCATGCTAGAAGAGTCAGAAATTGCAAAAAAAAAAAAAAAAAAAAAAGAAAGAAAGAAAGAAAAGAAACAAACTTGAGCTAAGGAACTAAGTCTTAAACATTGATTGCACAAAAATTAATTCAAAATGGACCAGGGACTTAAATATAAAAGTATAAAATGTTTGAAAGAAAACATAGGAGAGTCAAAGAATTCTTAGACTCAACACCAAAAAAGGTCTCTATAAGAAAAAAATGATAAACTGGACTTCATCAAATTTAATGTAGACAAAGAACTTTTGCTCTGTCAAAGTCCACATGAACAGGATAAAAAGACAAGCAACAGACTGGGAGAAAACATTTGCCAACCACATGTCCAATAAGAGTTTAATTTAAATTATATAAAGAACTCTCAAAACTCCACAGCAAACAAATGATCCAATTAGAAAATGGTCAAAAGATATGAATAGCCATTTCATCAAGGAGGATATATAGAAGGCAAATAAACACATGAAAAGATGTTCATCATGATAAGCCACTAAGGAAATGCAAATTAAAACCACAGTTAGATATCACTACACACCTATTATAGAATGATTAAAATAGGTGCAAGGATGTACAGAAACTGGATCTCTCCAACATTGCTGGTGGGAATGTAAATGGTACAGTTGCTCTGGACAAGTTTGGCAGTTTCTTAAAAAATTAAATATCCAACTACTCAAATAAATATCCAACTATTACATGACCCAGTAATTGCACTTTTGTGCATTTATCTTAGAGAAATTAAAATTGATGGCCATACAAAATCTGCACACACATGTTTATAGCAGCTTTATTTGTAATAGCCAAAAACTAGAAACAATACTGATGTCTATAATGGGTAAATGATTAAGCAAACTGGTATATCCATACCCTGGAATGTCATTCAGCAATAAAAAGGAATAAACTAGTGATACATGCAACAACCTATATGACTCTCCAGAGAATTCCGCTGAGTGAAAAGTGGCAATCCCAAAAGGTGACATATTATATGATTTCATTTGTATCACATTTTTTTTTTTAAGATTTTATTTATTTATTTGACAGAGAGAGACATAGCACAAGCGGGAACACAAGCAGGGGGAGTGGGAGAGGGAGAAGCAGGCTTCCCGCGGAGCAGGGAGCCCGATGCGGGGCTCGATCCCAGGACCCTGGGATCATGATGTGAGCTGAAGGCAGATGCTTAATGACTGAGCCACCCAGGTGCCCCTATATCACATTCTTGAAATGAAAAACAAAATTACAGAAATAGAGATCAGAGTGGTTGCCACAGGTTAAAAAGTGATTGGACAACATGAAAGAACTTTATGGTGATGGAAATATTCTATACCTTAACTACATCAGTTGTCAGTATCCTAGTTGTGAGACTTTGGAATACTGGTTAAGAGTGCACCAGATCTCACTGTATTACAACTGTTCTTACAACTGCATGGGGATCTACAATTATCTTCATATAAAAAGTTTAATTGAGAAACTTTATATAATAAAAATACAAGGTGCTTGGGGTGCCTGGGTGGCTCAGATGGTCAAGCGTCTGCCTTCGGCTCAGGTCATGATCCCAGGGTCTTGGGATCGAGCCCCGCATTGGGCTCCCTGCTCGGAGGGGAGTCTGCTTTTCCCCCTGCTCATGTTCTGTCTCTCTCTCTCTCTGTATCTCTGTGTCTTGAATGAATAAATAAAAAAATCTTTAAAAAAAAAAAAACAAGGTGCTTAATAAACATTTGGTGGAATTATGTGTAATGAATGAATTCAATTAAATACTCAACATCAATTTAACATAAAAAGGTGATAAAAGGTAGGTAAGTAATAAAAATGACCAAATAAAATGAAAAGAGATGCTGCAAATCTGCCATATTTTAGATAGGCAAATATTTGTTCAGTAAATGATTAAATATGATTAAATGTGATATTCCAAACTACTGTCTTTGAACTAAGAGAAGTAGAAAGTGGTAAATAATTTGTTTTTGAACAACAAAAACATGAATGAAATCTAGCATTCTAATCTAACTCAGACCCTATGGGTAAATCACGATGAATACCACATACATTCACGATGAATACCACATACATTCTGAGTACAGCTATCATTTGGATTAATACTCTTGTGTGCTTTACTGACATTTGGGGAAACAGTAGTTGTTTATGGAATTATCTTTTTAAATGCACAAATTACATAAGTAGGGGAAATCACTGAGTTTTTAAAAAATATTATTTTAACTGTCTCTTGTCTTATTAACCACTTTGGTGATACAAAGATTTTTAAATAATTATATAAAATAGAAAATGACATGTGCCTTTAGAGAATTCACGATCTAAGAAGACACGATGGTCATATCCTATACATAGGACAATATGTTTTTCCATTCTTATGAGGTACTGACTAGTACAGTACCTTGAGCATACAAGGTACTAAAATGTTTCACAAGTTAAATTAATTCTTTCTTTTAAAACTGTCATCATTGTTCAGAGAAGGAAATATCCCACTGTGGGCTATAATTATAGGTTAATGTACACCTTGAAATATTCTTGAATCTGAACAAAACTGGTGAAGGCTTTCCAGTAGGAGGTGAAAAAAGGAAGATTTGGCACTTGTGAGGGAAAAAAAAAAGTTTGCGTGGAAGATTAGAAATCCTAAAAGATGGTGGGTAAAGACCCTTAAACCAGGGTGAGAAAACTGAGGACCACAGCATTTTTTTAAATGACAGATATAAAGCAACGTTCCCAGGCGTTAAAGCTAGAATACATATTTGTTTCTTTGATTTCTGAGTCTAATCAGCTCTGGAAAACATTTGCTTTTTTAACTTGACAATGTCTAAGGAATCATTATAAATAGAGAAGCAGAAATTATGTTGGTAAAGATTTAATGTCACAGCTGTGCATTATACAAATTGCCTGGGGGCACAGGAAAGAAAGTTAAGACAGGATTATAGTAACCACTTCCTTCAGAGTGGGCTCCATGGTTTTTCTGTGCAAAGTTCAATGGGTCTGTCCCTGTGATGTCATGGCCCCAGTTCATGTCTATACCAAAGGGATCATCAGAAGGCTATGATTATTCGAGACATAGCTGACTTCTTATACATATTCAGCCTATGATTACGGACATAGCCACTCAAAAGTGTTCTATGTCAAATCTAAGTCTATATAACAACATTGGTCTTTTAGGCAAACATTAAATAAAACAAAATATAATCCAAGGTACTTAAATGTCATTAAATTTAATAAAATTGTATTACAAATTATGTGCAAGGTGTCATGTACAATTATTCATCCCTAGTGCTTGAAACATGGTAAGGATTTCTAAATGTTAAGTAAAGGAATGGATGAATCCAAATCTATTGAGGAAGAAACATGCTATGAAGCAAGTACTGGGAATTAAGGAGTAACTTCTACATTGATGATTTGGAGGCAGAAATGGATGCCTCGACGTTTAATGTGTCTTAAATATAGAGCACTGAAGTTTCATAAAACTGCATTGATAATGCAAAATTCCATGTACACAGCTAAAGTTATATTAATATTTTCCCCTTATCTGAATAACTCAAGTATGAATATTTTAAACTAGAACTTTTAGAAGTTTGTGAAGTACCTTATTAAAAAGGTACAAGAATCAACACACTAGTGGGAAAATCTAATACTTCAATTATAATAATTATAATATTTGTAACTAATGACCACAAATTAAGAAATAAATCAAAGAGATAATAAATAAACCAACATAATACAGAGTATTTACAGGAAGAAAAAATTGCATGAAATCTTACCTGGATCCATTTATCCGGAATTGCCATGGCTAATCGATAGTCAAAGCCAACTCCTCCCTGGGAAATTGGAGAACAGAGAGCTGGCATTCCTGATACATCCTGCAACAAAATACATCAGCATTATCAATTCACATTGCTCAGATTCTTACTATATTTTTGACAGTAAATTCTGGGCCAATAAATAAAAACAGTAAATGGGAGCATATATTTTTGGAGTGTTTGGGCAGCAGAATTGTAAAAGTAGTTAAAACTATGACAGCATATCTCATTTCCCACTAACATTTTGTGTAATGCTTTTCAGTGCAGGACAACTTCAATCTCATGAGGCGATTTTATTTTTCTTTTCCTTAGTATCACAAGATAGAGAACACAAAAGAGTAAGATGATTACTGCCAAAACATAGTTTCTTAGACTTATTTTTGAGCTAATGTATGAACATTTTGCTACTGCTTTCATCAAACACAAAAACACATGTGGCATATATCTGTTATACTTATTCTCTCCACATACAGTACTGGCAAGGAGTGTATTTTGTGAGGACCTATCTTCTGATGAGATAGAAAAAGACTTAGTACATTAAGTATGAAGCAATAAGATGGCTTTCAGTATAGTCAGCTACATTGAAATGGGTCTTAAGGTTATCTGGTGGATCCTTTTCATCTAGAAGATACAGAAACTGAAGCTCACTCAGGTGAAGGGATCTCTAAAGATATGTTTCTCAAGAGTAGAGTCAGGACTCAGATGTCAGGCCCTTCAACAGAGTGCCTTCCTTCTCTGTCATGCCACCACTAGAGTATTACTGATAACCAAATAAACACATAAGGAAAAAAAAGATGGTATAAGGACCCAGATGTAGCAAAATGTATTATACCAGCAACTATGGTGAAATATGAGTCACATATTAGCAATTCTAACTCTACGACATCTTTCAAATAAATCCTTTTCCCTTGCTCCATTTCTATAGCTACTGTCTTATTTAATATTCATTACTCCTTGCTTAGACCATTATGCTTCCAAATGGAATTCCCCATCTCCAGTTTCCCTTCACTCTAACTGCTGCCAAATTAATATATTTTTTAAAGATTTATTTATTTATTTTAGAGAGAGAGAGAGCAAGAGCACAAGTGGGGGAACAGAGAGTGAAGGGGGGAGAGAGAGAGAGAGAAAGAGGAGAAAGCAGACTTCCCATTGACTGTGGAGCCCAGCACAGGGCTCGATCTCATGACCCCGAGATCATGACCTGAGCCGAAATCAAGAGTTGGGCGCTTAACCAACTGAGCCACCCAGGTGCCCCCCAAATTAACATCTTATGAGACAGTGCCCTATCACTGCCCATCAATAGCTTCCAATAGCCAATAACTAAAAACTCAAATTCTTTAGCTAAAGATTCAATTCAACAATCATACTTTAAGTATTAACAATATAATTTCCTATTTGATTATTGGCCTCCTTACTTTCTGTTAGAATGTGAGATCCATGGAACAAGGGTTTTGTGGTTTTTGCTGTTCACTGATATATGCCAAGAATTCAGAGTAGTATAAGAGTACCTGGCATAAAGCAGGAACTCAATACCATTTTGTGAGAGAATAAATACAGGTGCTGTCAGGAATTTAAAGGTAAATAAGACATAATATCTGACCTTCATATAACTTCCTTATAAGGAGAACCTAACTAAACATATACACACTTATTATCATGAAATGATAACATGATGTAGTTGTTATAATTGTTAACTGAAGTACACAGAAAACGCAACAGGGAGACCTATAGCTTTCCACCATAATTTCTATTATATTTCAAATACTAAATACATCATTTACTTTGGAATATTTACTCTTCCCTGCGCTTGTCACTAACTCTTCTATGTGCGTCACTGCCCAAACTCTTCCTTGTGTTATTATCCTTACTTTCTATAAAAGACTATCACATACTCTGAGCTCTCTGAAACTTAACTCAAATGCTTCTTCGTATACAACACTATCCGCAAACTCTTCACACAGAAAAGCTGGTAAAAAAAGAAATATATGACCTCTTTGGACTTCTAAAATAATTTATTGTTTTCTAATGAAAGAGAGATACATTTAAATATAGTGCATAGTGGAATATATCTGTTAGAAAATGAAGTATTTGTCAATGATATCTTATTTCTACATAGTACTTCACAGTTTATAACTGAAAAAAAGGACAAAAAAGTGAAAAGGATGAATGCTTAACAGAAAAAAAATTAAAAGGTTATATCTTATAATATGTCATATTTTCACTATTATAGTAGGCATTTAGTTTGGTTCCTTATAAACACTGGTTGAATATGTATTAAATACCAGGCACTCATGTTAGGCACTGGAATTATAGACAAAATAACTTCCCAAAAGAGTTTTCATGAGACTAAGTTTTCCTAACACTGGTGATAGGCTGGTATTAAAGATCAAGATAATTTTCTCAAGAAACCTTAAGGCGCATTCTATATTTGTTCTAAAGATAGTTTTAGGAATACTTTGATAGGAAATAGAATATGCTAAGAAAAACATTTGGACACCAACTGGTCTTGACTCCTAAATCTGAATCCTAGAAAGCTACTCCATTGATGCACATATTTGTAGCTATCTTTTGAAAGAGAAGAGTTATGACTATCCTTTTCCTTTTAAAATCTTAAAAGGAAAAAAAAGTAAACATAAAGGCCACTAAAATAAATATACTTTAAATGTAAAAAAGTCAATACCTACCAACATAGCATATAAAAATAACCATGTGTTCAAAATAAAGTTGAAGTAGTTTTATTTTTCTTCCTAGGCAAAGAACTTTATTAACCTTGTTTCAAACTTTATTCCCAGGCTTCTTCAGCTTAATTAGCTGCAAAGAATGAATTGTGATAAGCAAAAACTGAAAAGAGCTGCAGTGTCCAAGGGGCTTGGGCTTAAAAATATTAGAGATCTAGATTTTATCAGATCCATGAACAAAATTTTAAAAAGCAGTCATAATATAAAATAGCAGCTCCCAGTAACTTCTTCAAGTTTTATGTTCTTCAGAAGTTGACTCAATTCAGTTTGCTTCATTCTTGGAAGCTTCATCAAAATTCTCCACAAGATCTGGAACTTCATCATCATCCTCCTCTCCGGTAGCAAGTGGTGCTTTTCCATCCACAGATTGTTTGGGCAGAGCTTCAGCCAGTCTTCTTAAACTAGTCAGACTGTCCGCACCAAGTTGGTTTAAGATACTGGGTAGCATTTCTGTCAGCTGCTTTGTCTCAGCATGGCCTGTAATGGTGAAAGTGTTCGCTGCCAGTGACGCCTGAACTTTGGGGTTGTTAAAATGGATCACTGTTCCTTGGTTTGTGAACATATTCACTTCTTCAATACCAGAGATATTGTTTACCCCTAACTTCTTTAAGGAGAACTGAAATTTTTTATCATCTGCTGTAGCCGTTCTATGAACCACCTTCTTTCGGCGAGCAGTTCCTTTCCCACCAATGTGCACTTGTGCTTGCAGTTTGGCGAGTTTCTCCTGGTTCATGATAGTTTCTTTCATCTTGTTGGAGCGGAAATGGGACCGCGCGGGGGAATAGGGCTGGCGCTCAGGGGGTCTCGGGCGGACCAGCGGAGATTAGGTGCACACACGCGGGGACGCAAGATGGCAGCTAGAGGGCGAAGTAGTTTTATTTTTTAATATCTAAGGATATGACTATTCCAAAAGGGGGGGAAAACCTCAATCAAAAAATACTTTTAATTAATATAGCAAATAGAACCATGGGAAACGGTAGATACATTCTAGGAAAAAAAGTCTTCAATTTTAGTAACTATCATAAATAAATTTAAATTTCTACTATAGGACTTTATATAAACTACATTACTTATTTGTTACACCACATTCCTTTCTTAAAAAAAAAGTTCATGAGGATCAATTTCACATTTTGAAGAGACTCCCACTAGACAGAAAAGTGATGTACTGAAATTGAAGTAGTTTTCAATTTAAGTAGAATAAATTGAAGACAAATCTTGTTATAAAAAAAATCTAAAACCAAGTAATATAAAGTAGGCTAAAGTCTCAAAGTTTCATTGGTAGAAACACTGATAATCAGACAAGGGCTCCTGAGATCATGAAACTATTTTACTTGAAATGAATGGAAAGATCAATGTAACAATTTTAAGTTTCATGTATTAAATAATTGCTTCTTTTTTTCCAGTACCCACTTTTGATTTGTACTATCATTAATTGTTTGTAGTAACTTTTCATTTATACTGTCTCTGCTTTGAATTGTCATAAATATAATTGACAAAGTTTTTTGATGTTTGACAGATAAAATAAATTCATATAAAAGACAAAATAAGTTTAAAATACACTCTGACATTAAAAGATACTCGGCACATAAAGTAATTAGCACAAGTATTAGTAAGATTTATAAGATATGACCAAATGTAGGCAGGTAGATAGTGTAGAATAATACAGGTTTATCAAAATGTTATTATAATTGTGTTTTTTAAAAAATCTGTGTAATAATTTATTCTAGAAATTTAGGGTCCATTGTTCTGTTCCTAGAATATATTTAGGAGACAAAATGTCTAAAGAAAGGAACTGTTCTCTATTCAAAGATAAACAAGGAAATCATTCCATCTAGTTGAAGATTCAGGGTTTTGAGAAAAGATGAATAGAAAAAAGTCTATACAAATAATAATTACCACAGAAAGGAGACCGTCACTACTGCATTTCATTCCCATGAAGTAAATGCCAACAATGTGCAAATACAACTGAACTCTGACGCTTTTAACGATATTCTTGCTATTTTCATATGCCAACCACTGCACTTTGTACAGAACAGTTTTAACATACTAAATTCAATTTTAATAATAATTTCTAGTAAGAGGACTCAGAAAACCAGAGGGATTTTAGAACTAAATCTAAATTAGCATAAGCATTTAACAAACTTCTTAATTTATCACATTTATCACCAAGAGGGGAATTGTCAATTATGCATATACCGAATTATATCATTACAGTGCAGCTTTGGGACAGTTAATCATGAACCTTCAGTAATCATGAATAACTAGTGAACATTTGGCAATCCAAGAGCAATAACGTAAACAAGAAAGGTAATCGCATCAGAACAAGAGAGACTTCAGAGAAGCTTGCAGGCAGTGAGCCATGCCATCTCTAATGAGTAAACCAGAAAAGAAAAAATAAATAAATAAAAAACCCAGACACACATTAATATTCAATTCTTTTCTCTGTTGAAGGTCTCATGGTGGAAGGACCTGTCCACTGATTAGGATATTTTACTTTCTAACCACTGGCATTTTCTTTTGTAACAATGAAATGATGACAAGTAATTAGTGCACACCATCTCCTAATAAGAAAACACTGCATTCTAAATAATGTGCCACCCATACAAGATAGCTGCACTATAGTCAGGGCATAATTTCGGTTATGCAATTATTGACAACAGGAGATTAATCATTCAAATATTGTATGCTGTGACAAAATGTTCTATATTAAAGGGGGTCAGAGGGTAGAGATTATTATGGTTTTACCTCAGCTATTGTTATAGAATCTGGAGACAACGTGTGAATCAAATGATTTGCCAACAGGAGATAAATCAAGGCATCTTCATCTACTTGAAGTCCAAAATATTCATGGTAATCACCTGAAAAACCTTGACCTACAGAATAGAAAATCAATATAGATGCATTATTTTAACATGAAAGCCTTAACTTAGCACAAATGCTCCCACCAATTAGTTTATTGAGATCAGTTTTGTTATCATAGCAAAATGTAATGAGCCTCAATACCATGTAATATTATCATCAGCAAATATATTCTATCTTAGAAAAGTACTCCATAGCAAACATCTGGAATTCAGACAATCCTACAATTCATTTTTTGTTTTTCAAAAGCAAACAAAGCACTCTAACTGAAAATTTTAATTTAATTTTAACATAATTTTAAAGCAAAAAAAAAAAGGAAATGATACCAAATTCTATATTTCAATTTTTAGATACATTTTTCTCATGTCAAGAGATGTTAATGTTAGCTAGTTCCTATTAGATCCCTTTGAAGAAAAGCAAATATGAAAACCATCTTAACATTGAGACATAGTGTTTATATTATTTTAAATATGTGCTTCAATTTATGCAATACAGATTTCCTATGATGACAAAAAGACTTTAACATCCTCCAACTTACTTCTACCTTCTCTTCCCTCACATCCTAATTTTGGTTGCTTATAGTACATAGCACTTATGGAAGTTATACTACTTACTTTTGATTTCTTGAATTATTTACTTATTTTTAATTAATTCAAATTAGTGCCCAGTACATGCCTTTTCCCTCTGTCTCCCTATAACAAGTTTTTTTTATTTTGACTCACTTTTTTTTTTTTCAGTTTCCTGGATCCCATCACTAAATGATATTTTCAAATATAATTATAGAAGTATTATTCCTCAAGCTCTTTCAATTTAATACCTGAAAGGCAATTCAATTATCAAATTCTTGAGTCAAATTTTGCTTCCCCCCAATTTTTTATACATTGCTGTTGGCAAGAGAAAAGTATGAGTTCAGCCACTGTTTTCATCCACACAGGTAAATTTCTTTTTCTTTCTGTCACCTGCTGAACTTCTCTTTATCACTCAATTTTATATATTGAATACTTTGTGTCTTGATGTTGATTGCTTTATCTCATTTTTTTTCAATTCATTTCTCTAATTCCACAATTCCTTGGAAAATACCAAGCCCTCAGCAGAAGGAGGTTCTACAGGGTTATGCAGGTGTTGTAATCTAGGAGAGGTTCTTTCTTGACCTTTGCCATGCTTTCCTTCTTCATCCCTCAAGTTATCTTCTCTCAAACTGGAGGATATCAGTGAAACCTGTCATGTTTTATAGATACAACTTCTTTTCTAGGAACACTTCATGGGGGCAGACCATGACTAAGAGCAGTTAGCAGGATGCTTTGAATATAGCTTCTTTCCTTGGCAGCCGCTTTTCAAGATTTACAGGTTAAAGTCCCTTTTTCAGATTGGTTGTTGCTGGTAAATATTTGGCCTTTAAAAAATAATAATTATTCACCATATTATCTACTGAGGAATTAGGATTCCATGATCCCACTTCTTTGAACAATTTTTCAACTGAAGATCTCTGATCAATGTTTTTAATTACAAATTAATTTATAATTTAATTTTAACTGTGAACATCTATTTAAAATATACACATTTTATCAGTGTTTAATATGCAAAGAGACCTACACATTCACAGGTTCGCATTTTTTTTTTTTGTTATTTATTTCTCATTGCAATTGCTGTCACGTTCACATCCTATAGGTGCTCTGATAAATGGTTGGCTTAAAAACATTTTATTTCTTTGGCTAGGACTTCCAGTTGAATAAAAGTGGTGAGAGCGGACATCCTTGTCTAGTTCCTGATATTAGAGGAAAAGCTCTCAGTTTCTCACCAGTTTTACTATTTGTAGATGACATGATACTATATACAGAAAACCCTAAAGATTCTACCAAAAACTATTAGAACTGATACATGGATTTAGTAAAATTGCAAGATACAAAACTAATATACAGGAATCTGTTGAGTTTCTATATACTAATTTGAATAGAAGGAGAAATTAAGAAAACAATCCCATTTACTATTGCACCAACAAGAATAAAATACCTAGGAATGAACTTGATCAAGGAGGTGAAATACCTGTACTCTGAAAACTATAAAACACTGATGGGAAAAATTAAAGATGATACAAACAAATGGAAAACTATTCCATGCTGATGGACTGGGAGAACCAGTATTGTGAAAATGTCTATACTATCCAAAGTAATCTACAGATTCAATGAAATTCCTATCAAAATATCAACAGTAGTTTTCACAGAACTAGAACATGTAACCCTAAATTTCACAAAACCATGAAATACCCCATATAGCCAAAGCAATCTTGAAAAAGGAAAACAAAACTGGAAGTATCACGATCTCACATTTCAAGATCTACCACAAAGCTGCAGTAATTAAAACACAATAGTACTGGCACAAAAATAGACACATAGATAAATGGAACAGAATAGAGAGCCCAGAAACAAACCCACAATTTTATGGTCAGTTAATCTATGACAAAGAAGGCAAGAAAATACATTGGGAAAAAGACAGTCTCTTCAACAAATGGTGCTGGGAAAACTGGACAGCTACAGGCAAAAAATGAAACTGGACCTCTTTCTTAGACCATACACAAAAATAAACTCAAAATAGATTAAAGACCTAAATGTGAGACCTGATGCCATAAAATTTCTAGAAGAAAACATAGGTAGTACTCTCTTTGACAACAGCCAGACATTTTTCTAGCTAGGTCTTTTTTGTCAAGGGAAACAAAAGCAAAATTAAACTACTGGGACTATACCAAAATAAAAGGCTTTTTGCACAGTGAAGGAAATCATTAACAAAACAAAAAGGCAACCTACTGAATGGTAGAAAATATATGCAAATGATGTATCTGATAAGAAGTTAATATCCAAAATATATAAAGAACTTATACAACTGAACATCAAAAAACCAAATAATCCAATTAAAAATGGGCAGAGGACATGAATAAATATTATTTTGAAGAAAACATACGGCCAGCCAGCAGACACATGAAAAGATAGTCAGCATCACTCATCATCAAGGAAATACCAATCAAAACCACAATGAGATATCACCTCATACCTGTCAGAATGGCTAAAATAAAAAACACAAGAAATAACAAGTGTTAGCAAGAATGTGGAGAAAAAGGAACCCTTGTACACTGCGGGTAGGAATATAAATTGGTGCAGCCGTATGGAGGCCCCCTCCAAAATTAAAAATAGAACTACGATATGATACAGTAATTCCGTTACTGGGTATTTACCCAAAGAATACAAAAACACTAATTCAAAAAGATATATGCACCGCTATGTTTACTGCAGCATTATTTATAATAACCAAGATATGGAAGCAACCCAAGTGTCCATCCAGAGATGACTAGATAAAGAAGCTGTGATTATATATACAATGAAATATTACTCAGCCATAAAAAAGAATGAAATCTTGCCATGTGCAACAGCATGGATGGGTCTAAAGAGTATAATGCTAAGTGAAATAAGTCAGTCAGAGAAAGACAAACACCATATGACTTTACTCATACGTGAAATTTAAGAAACAAATCAAATGAACAAAGAAAAAAGAGACAAACAAAAAGCCAGACTCTTAAATATGCAGAATAAACTGATGGTTGCCAGAGGGGAGGTGGGTGTGGGGATGGATGAAATAGGTGAACGGGATTAAGTATACACTTATAGTGGTGAGCACTGTGTAATGAACAGAATTGTGGAATCTTTACTTTTGTATACTTGAAACTAATCTAACATTGCATGTTAGATTTGAATAGGAAAAAATTTAAAAAAATAAATAAAAGACTTTTAAAGGAAAGCTACACATTAAGATAGCATATTATTAAGTAGATATATTTCAAAGAAAAGTATTATTGTTTATTTACTTATAAAATGTAATTATATCCAACCTCTTGCCAAAAAGATCAGAAGTCACTAGAGAAAGGAAATACACAATGAAACTAATAAAAATCAAGCCAACAATAATGGTCATTGCAGCTGCGTAACGGATTCCAGTAAAAAAAAAATGAAATCATTCGTTGCATCTGTAATATATTAGGCTACCTACCCATTCCATGGTGATGGTAGAGCATGGATGTAACGCCATCAAAACGAAATCCATCAAAGCCATATTCTTCTAACCACCATCTTAAGTTTGACAGAAGGAATCTTAAAACTTCCCAGCTAAAACATTAGAAAAAAATATACTTAAACGCATTGTTTATAGTGGTTTCTTTGATTGTTATACATTGTTTGCTAAGAGTATTAATTATAATTATAAATATCGTAGGGATCATGATGCTCAATGAAATATACAAAAACCAGAAAACTATTACTTATCACATTTGTTTGATGAAATTCATTCTAAGAGATTATTAAATTTCTTTGGTTGCAAAATCACTTAATATCTAAGAAAAACTGAGAAAAAGTATATAAATTGGGTCCAAAGTGCAGGGACTCTCTTATTCAATGCTGTGTCCTCAGCAATCATACAGTGATTACTACATAGTATTGCTTACAGCAACAGCAATGAAAAAATCTGTTACTGATCTCTAAATTTTCATTAAGATTTTTCATGCAACATAACCATAGTTACAGAGCTCCTTTTAGAAAATATTTCATTATCATTAGAAAAACTACCTCATGTTTGCATGTTTGCTTAAAATAGTTCCTCATTCTACAATTTCAAACATACATTTAGAATAAAAAATTTTAAAAAGAGACTTAAAGTCAACCACATGATAACCAATATTACATTTACTAGACTTGCATTTTGTGAGGGTAAAGGAAAAGAAATCTAATTACTAAAACACACATGAGTAATAAAGTAACAAGTTTTCCAAGTTAAAGAGTCGTACATCCATAAAAACAGAATGAAAACAAAGAACTGTTATAACTCAATTAAAAACGCCACACGAAACAAGCCTATTTCGGACAATTGAGAAGAAGGCATCGTCAATTAGTATTTTCTTTAGTCATACAGTTATGGTTGAGTTCTCTATCCTATTATAACTCTGGTTTTAAGACTTTAATACCTCATTTAGTTTAATGACAAAGCAGTTATAGCGAACACAAATCTTTAACCCAGTTAAAATTTATGTATTTTTTTTAAACCTTCCATATATTCAAGAGCAATCTGACATAAGTGGATATTAAGCCATCACAATCAACTTCAGAAGAGTAAATCCAAACTTTGGGGAAAGATGAGTTGTTAGTAATTAACTGCTTTAAATAAGTTACTTTTTGAGTTTTGCAAACTTACTGAAATTAAAAAAAAAAGGGAACCAAAAAGCAGAAATACAAGCAATCCAGTAGATCTGAAAAGGTAGTGAGGAGGTTTTAGATTCTAGTTCCAAGCCATGATGAAGGTAGAATTTGCTAATGTTTCTACGAATGCATATTCATTTGGGGGTTAAGGAAAAAAAAACAAAACTCTGTTTAACAAAAAGAAATTAATAAAAACAAAGAGGTATTCCACAACCAAACAGAATCAAAATTACTCTATTTTGTATAGGACTTTCTAATACCGATGCATTTTTTGAGGTTTTATTTAAATTAAAAAGCTCATTTTTTTAGAGACATTTTGGTTCACAGCAAAATAGAAAGGAAGCATGTCTATACTTTTTTAACAAAGTTGCTGTAGGAGTACTCCAGAAAGAAGACATGAAGAAACTTCCCTATCAATAAACCTTGGTAAACAATATTTTGAAAAGGACATACTTTTCTCATTTGGCTATTCAACTGGTAATGCACATTTTACTTCTGAAAGGTAAATGGAAAGATATTTTTAGTCAAAAATACCCCCGAGTAGGAACAAAACCTATTTAAATACTATATATGTTGGGTAGATGTATGAAGATATGAGTATGTAAGAGATTACAAAAGGTCTCTGGGCCTAATGGGCCGTGCACCACTGTTTTGTTTACCTTGCAGAGTACTTCAAATTCTCACTTTGAATGCCTGCAGATAGAACATGGACCTCCTAAGCTCTTCCCAGTCCCTGCCACTGCACATTTTCCAATACCAGCCTTATAGTCGTTTATACCACCAGCTTGGGCTTGTGGACAGTTGCTATCAATTTCTAATATAAATATATGGACTGAATGTTTCCTAGGCAGACTAGACACAGGTTTAAATGTAAGAACTGTGTCCTAATTTCTACAAAGATAAAAGAAAAAAAAAGAGCCAATGATAGTGCAATCCAATAAAAACAAAAAAGGGGGATGATGTGAATTTAATAACTGAAAAGAAAGCATTGCACAATATAATTTAGTTGATGATTATGGGCAGCATTATTAATGGCCTACTCATTCCTATTACTACAATATTTAATCTGTTCTCTTCTTGACCAAAAAAGGTGTAACACATTAAAAGAAAAAGACATATTTAGCTGTGACTATATGAATAGACAGATTCCTGGCATGGATAAACAGAAAAAGAATTCCCTGTGATAATCTAAAAAGAAACAGCAATGACAATGGAGCATCTAAATTAAAAAAATCTAATGGGTTAAGAAAATAATAAATTCTACATGTTAAAGTTTGAAATGCTCTTAACTTGAAACAATGTCTAAACAACATCAACAATCCTGGGGGGGACAAAATCACCACAAGATTAAACTGACAGGAATAAATCAAACTTGTAGAGCTTTCAAAATAATTTATTTTATAATGTTTTATAAATCATGGATGAAGCATAAACTAGATATGTTATCTGTAGAGACAGAAAAGAGATATACAAAATTTTATAGGAGACCAAACTATCTAGAACAAAAACAGTAAAGAAATAAAATATAGAAAGTTTTATTTTTCATAACAAAAATCTCAGGAAATACATTCAAGGAAAAAAAAAATCAGACCTAAAATTTTAAAGTTGGCAGCAGCAAATGAAAAGCAAAAGTTAAAAATATTCTCTGGTTATATACATTTTCTAAAACTTGGCTATTAAGAGGAGTTAAGTAACAACAACAATAACAACAATTAGTCTTATAAGAGTAATATTTTTTTTAAAGATTTTATTTATTTATTTGACAGAGACACAGCAAGAAAGGAAACACAAGCGGGGGGGTAGTGGGAGAGGGAGAAGCAGGCTTCCCGCTGAGCAGGGAGCCCGATGCGGGGCTCGATCCCAGGACCCTGGGATCATGACCTGAGCCAAAGGCAGACGCTTAATGACTGAGCCATCCAGGTGCCCCTATAAAAGTAATATTTTATAAATAATTAGCTTTTATTGATTAAGAAAAAATTATCTGTGCAGGAAATGGGGGAAAGACAGACTCATAAATATGTTCTCAATATCTCTGTGATCCCAATTTTGTGTCTCTTATCATCTTACATGATAAATCTAGATGGACTAATTCACTCTTGGTAAACTCAGCATCCGATGAAACTAACTTTAGAACACAGACTGTATAAAATCAGAACTTTAGAGATCTAACAAAACAGAGAACCAGGAAGACTGAGATCTGAGTCTATAAAATGACCAGACCTTTCATGGACATGAACCAGAACTCAAAGCTGAAAAATAGTAGGTCATAGTGTTTATATTGTCATTGGAATGAAGATGTAGCTCCCCCCCCTTTTCTTCTTACACTAGGTAAACATCCAACTGAATATAGACAGTGTATTTAAGTATTATATAATATTATTTATCCCAGATCACTGAACTTAAATTATAAGAGGAAAGCTATGCCAGGGGTCCACCAGAACCTCCAGGTTCAGTGATTCACCAATAGCACAGACAGGATTCAACATATAGTTGTAATCATGGGTATGATTTATTATAGCAAAAGGATAAAAAGCAAAATAAACAAAAGAAAAAGCACATGGATGGAGCAAAGTTCAGCAGAGTCTAGACACAAGCTTCCAAGAGTCCTCTCCTGACGGAGTCACACTTAATCCTTCCAACAACAAACTGTCGCGACACTTGTGAAATGTCTACCAGAGAAACTCACTGGAAACGCAGTTCCTAGTGATTTTATTGGAGGCTGGTGACTGGGTATCCTCTGCCTTGACACATATCAAAACCTAGATTCCCAGAAGGAAACTGGGTGTTCAGTATAAGATACATGGCTTGTATGAAGTGTTTAGGTGCAGTGAAAAACTGTTTTCAGTCCCGGGAATGGTGAGAACCCTCTCCAAACCCAAGTCCCCAACGGCTAGGTAGGGGCCAATCTTGCAGGCAGACATTTCTAAGAATAGCAGTCGTAATTGTGCTATACTAACTTTTTCTGCAGGAAGCACAGCCTAACATTTATTATATAATTATAAAATACTTAACTATAGGTTATTGGAAAAAACTACTTTTGTGTGTGTGTGTGTATTAGGTTTGTTTGTTTGTTTGTTTATTATTATGTTAATCACCATACATTACATCATTAGCTTTTGATGTAGTGTTTCATGATTCATTGTTTGTGCATAACACCCAGTGCTCCATGCAGAACGTGCCCTCTTTAATACCCATCACCAGGCTAACCCATCCTCCCACCCCCCTCCCCTCTAGAACCCTCAGTTTGTTTTTTCAGAGTTCGTCTCCCCCTCCAATTTTCCCCCCTTCATTCTTCCTCTCCTACTATCTTTTTTTTTCTTAACATATATTGCATTATTTGTTTCAGAGGTACAGATCTGTGATTCAACAGTCTTGGACAATTCACAGTGCTCACCATAGCATATACCCTCCCCAGTGTCTATCACCCAGCCACCCCAACCCTCCCACCCCCCACTACTCCAGCAACCCTCAGTTTGTTTCCTGAGATTAAGAATTCCTCATATCAGTGAGGTCATATGATAATTGTCTTTCTCTGATTGACTTATTCGCTCAGCATAACACCCTCCAGGTCCATCCACATCGTTGCAAATGGCAAGATCTCATTCCTTTTGATGGATGCATAATATTCCATTGTATATACAGACCACATCTTCTTTATCCATTCATCTGTCGATGGACATCTTGGCTCTTTCCACAGTTTGGCTATTGTGGACATTGCTGCTATAAACATCGAAAAACTACTTCTAAAGTAATTTTCCCTCAGAGGTACTCAGATTTCAAAACCAAGTGGAAGAATCTAAATACACGTTAAAAATCTAAATGTGGGGGCACCTGGGTGGCTCAGTCAGTTAAGCCTCCGACTCTTAGTTTTGCTTGGGTCATGGTGTCAGTGTCATGGAACTGAGCCCCCGTCAGCT